TTACCTTCCGAAAGAGATTGAAACAGAAATAAGCAAAAATCTCCTCATAGCACCCCATGTTATATCAGCTTCCTGGATCTCTTTGGGGTTTGTGACTTAGGGCCAGGTTACAGGTGAGGCTGCGCTGAGGAGCTGGTGTTATAATTAGATCCTTATGGATGGAGTTTAAGTTCTGCTTAATTATGGCTTTTATCAAGTCAGATAACTGGCTAAAACACTCCAGGACGGGGCCGAAGCTTTGAAAGACTTTCTTTAAAACATTTATTATTATTTTAGTCTTCTTCTTATTATTTGGGTTTCGTGAAAAGGGTCATTTTTTCACTTTATCATGCTGTGAAAAGTTTTATCTTATGGTAGACTCATTTACCGAAATATAGTATTCTCATTTGAATCACATATTTCTCATCTGCGTGCTTCTTCTTCATGAATATGGAGAGGGTCTTTGTCTCTATTTTCCATCTTGAAATGCGGCTTTTCAGAACATGGTTCAACTATGAGCCCGTAAATTGCTCTGCCCCCAGCTTTTTCCGCAGCATCACAGTCTACCTGGCTGCCTAACAGCAGCCTTAACCCGTCTTGACACTTCTCTCCTCTTTATCTTTCACGCCCACTCACTCACCAAGTCTGATCTATTCCACTTGCCTCTCTCCTGCAACTACCCCTTTCTCTCTGTCTTCATTGTCACCGGGCTTTTCTGTGCCCCTCATTTTCTCATGCTTTCTACTGATCACCTTGGTTCTAGGCTCATGTACACCCCCCCGCTGGTTCTTAACATTTTCTTGAGCAAAGACACCCTCCATCTTAAGAGTTAGAAAACAAAACAAAACAAAAAACACAAATCACCAGCAACCCCATGAGAGGTTAAGAGAAATGCAGGCCATTTCCGGTTTTGAGTTTCCCAGAATACTAAAAAAACTGAAGAAATGCCAAATAGCTTATAAAAATTGTAGCGTTTTAACTTGTTCACATTGAACAAGTTAATTTTAACATGAGAGAAGTATCCAATGCAATTATGCCTTTCGCAAGATAATTAGAGGATTTATTAAAATACCAATTCCTAATGCTTTATAAATGGCACATTTGGATATGGGGAACACCTTTATATTATGTGATAAGCATACATGTAACATTTAGGAATGCATTTGGCTACAAACAACCAAAGACCTAAGAATGTAATAAGTAGGTATTTATATGTCTCACATCAAGAAATCTGGAAATGGGGAGACTGGAGAAGCTGTTCAACTGTGCTGTCAGGTACCCAGGTTCTTTCCGCTTTTCCACTTTTCCATCTGCAAGATGTAGGCTTCTGTCATAATGCTTGCCACCTCACGGTCACAAGATGGCTGCTGTTTCTCTAACACCATGTCCTCCTTCTAGCAGGAAGAAGAAAGAAAGGCAAAGGGAAAAAACGGAACAGGCGAAGTTTAAAAACAAAAATGTTTTTCTCCTATTGAGATGTTACTTTCTTATTCAGAAAGAGGCACTGGCCCCGGGAATTTCACCGGCCACAACTGTAACATACGGTTAGCCGTAGTAGTAAGGGAGGCTGGAAAATGGAGTCTGTTTTCTAGCCTCTTTAGAAGAGGAAGGCAAGTGAAAGGGATGTTGGGAATGAACGTCAAGTGAATCCTATTTACAGCTTCTACCACAGTCTTCTTTTAAACTCGACAATGTATCTTTGTAGCTGTTGGTACACCTTCCGGAGGTGTTACCATATGTCCATTTGGGATCCCTAATGGAGAGATAGCTTAGGTCACGTGACCCTTCTGATTCGCTAACTGAGAAAATGCTGAAAAAGCTATTATGTGCTTTTATGTGAATTTGTACTTTATTACTCACATCTATGTGTATTTAAAACTCAAGTCATATGTACGTAAGACTTTGTGATTTTTTCTACAGAGCAGGTGGATCCGTGGGCCCCTGCCTGTAGCCCTGCTGTTCCTTGCAGGCTTACTATTCTGCGGCATGCCAGTTTCCTTTCTGAAACACAGACATGGTCAGTCATGTCACCAGGACCTTGCTTAAAAAATCTTTAGTTCTTTTTTGCCTACAGCAGAATTCTAAAATGATTAGCATTCGATTCAAAGCACTTTACAACTGGCCCAATTAACCTTTGGCCTTAGTTCTGGTCACTTTTCCCTCTTACTTCGCTCCTGCGTTAACATGCTGCTTGGTTAGGCCTCCTGGCCTTGGCTTGGGTTGTTCGCACTGAACATTATTCTCTCTCTCTCCTGCATTCTGCAGATCTGTTCCTGCTCCAGGCCCCTGTCAGACTTCATGTTGTCTGCGTAGCTTTCCCCAGGGCCCTGAGGTGGAGTGGGAGGGCCCTGCTCTGCCTCCTAAAGCACTTTATTTGCTCCTTAGTTATGGTGCGTTTACCATTTATTGTGATTTCTTATGAGTTGACTGGTTCCCAAGGGAAACATTCTCATTCATCTTTCTATGTCTAGAACCCAGAATAGAATCTGGCATATTGAAGGAATGAATATGTATATACTGAATGAATAAATGAAAGTATAAAGGGAAATGGGCAGGGAGTCGATTGTAAGGCCTTCACTTAGATTAAATTTAAGAAAACGGACTGCTGCTTGTTCTTCCTCCTAGAATTAGACCTTTGTTAATGGGACCAGATCTTATTAAGATATATGTTTAATACTTTAAAAAAGCTGTCTTGTATTTCAGAGAGGTGGAGGGGTCTGTTTCCTGCCACTAATTTTCTCTTGATTGACACGAAAGCAGTTTTTATGTGGGATACCCCAAGGGCCTCAGTCATTACCATGGCGTTGAAAAAATTATTTGCTGACCCATGGGTGTCCTGGGTGAAGGTTCACAGACCCTAGTGAGGTTCTCCCCTCTGTGTGTGAAGTTCTTTTGATCTTAGTGACAAAGCTGTCTTTCAGGCACAAAAACCAGGGCGATTTCTGTTGCAGGTTGCAGGACACTGGTGAGTGTCTTGGGAGGGCATCCCCATGTGCATACAAATCTGTTTCTCCCCACCTGTCACGTGCATGTGAGTTAGCTGACACTGCTCCTTACTCCTCCATGCACACCCCCTCATGCCCCAGGAAGAGTCTTTGTGTGAGTTAGAAAAAGGGGCTCTCTCTGCATGGATGGGGGATGGACGCAGCTCCATGAGTGCGTGGCTTGGCAACCTGAAAGTATTTTCGTGCAAAGGTAAAGATAAAGATACCCTCTGGGAGGAGCATAACCAGCAGGAGCCAGCACTACCTGGGCGATGGCGATGGTCATGCCCTCAGGCTCCACTCAAAAAAATTGCTCATAGCTTCTTTTATAACAACTAGCTACTTATTTATTTACTCTTTATTTATTTGTATTTTATAACAACTTTTAATTTTAGAACAGTTTAAGATTTCCAGAAAATTTGCAAAAATAATACAGAGTTCCCATTTATCCCATACCCAGTTTCCCACTTACGAACCTCTTATGTTAGTGTGGTACATTTGTCACAATCAGTGAACCAGTGTTGGTACATTATCATTGACTAAAGTACACACATATTCAAATTTCCTTAGATTTTTTTTCTTTTCTTTTTAGCTAACGTCTTTTCTATGTTTCAGGACACCATCAGGATGCCACAGTCCATTTAGTCATCACATCTTCTTAGGCTCCTCTAGGCTGAGACAGTTTATTTAGACTTTCTTTGTTTTTCAAGAACCTTGACGGTTCTGAGGAGGACTGGTTGGGTATTTTACAGAATGCCCCCTAGCTGGGATTTCTCTGATGTTTTCCCCATGATTAGGCTGGTGGTTTTAATAGGTTTTATTATTATTTAGGTATGGTAAGGCCAACAGATCAGGGATGACGCCACTGAAAAGATTGTTAATATTCCCAGATCTCGAAAGAGGGGGTACATGTTTCAGGGGCCCGGAGTGTGAAGGCCAGGTAAGGGAGAAGATTGGGGGTGTGGACTCTGGTTTGGTTGGTTTGTATTTGAAAAGCTAGCCACTGGGAGAGGACTCTTCCTGAAGAGTTGAGGGAAGGGGAGAGACGGGAGATGTGAGAGGCAAGAGGCCAAGGCCAGGTGACTCAGGTACGTCGTTGGGTTGTCCAGAATAAGGCATGGCTGGTATATGCACGTAGGGCAGACGTTAAAGCATCGCATTTACAGAAGTTAGAAACAATAAGGCATGGCTGGTATATGCACGTAGGGCAGACATTAAAGCATCGCATTTACAGAAGTGCTTATTATACTGGGGTTATGTGTTTTGGGGAGGAAGATCACAGAGATAAAGTGTCATTTTCATCAAATCACAGGTACATAATATCAGTGTAACTTATCATGGTTGATATCAGCCTTGATTACCTGTCTGATCAGGCCCTAATTTATGACATCACACCCGTTTCATGTCTTCCATGAACATTCATCTATGTTTGAAGTCTTTGTGGACTAAGGTATCAGTAAATATGCAGTGTAATATTTCTTGAGTCTTCATCTTCCAGAAGAATGAACCTGCCCATAGTGAGTTCTCATTCTTAGAGTTGGGGTCCTCTTCGGCGGGTGGGTGACTCTAGAATGGAGTCCTGAAAACTTGGGCCTGAGGCAAGCTGATTTCACAGGGGAGACATATCTGAACATCCTCATTGTTCTCTAAAATGCCAGTTCTTTGTATTGAATTTGTATTATTCTCTAAAAGGTAGTCTTTCCAATTGCTGAATAAATATATAAGTAAATACCCATAGCTGTATTAGGAGTTAAAATCGATCACCACTGAAATGAGACAGGATATATAGTTTCCATAACGCTTAGCTATGATTCAAAATATTCAGAGTGTTAGCCTATTGCTGCATGTAAATGAAAAAGATTTTGGTTATTCCATAAGTTGCCTGACCAATATCTTTTTGGAGTCCTCTGATATTAGTGGAGATCATGGGAATATAGACATTTCTCTAATCTGCTTTTGAAAATCCTGAGTTGGACAAGGCAGGACATGGAGTGGGTTGGTAATTTACCTCTACATCTTTTTTTCCTCATGCCTCAGGGTCTAAGTCACAAAACTGTCTGTGGAACTCCCTCATTGACGGGCTCACGGGGAATGTCAAGGAGAAGCCACGGCCAACGATTGTCCAGGACCCTCGACCCCCGGAGGAAATCCTGGCCGATGAACTGCCTCAGCTTGATAGCCCCGAAGCCTTGGTGAAGACATCCTTCAGGTTTGCTGGATTGCAACTCAGTTCGATTTTTCTTATTTGCTTTTAGAGTTATTTCATTCCAGTTGGATGAATCATCAACGTGGCCAGCAAATAACCTCATTTTTTTTTTTGCACTGAGTAAATTAGAATTGATGAAGGCGCATTGGAATTAATGCTAGCTGGACTTCTGGCTGGATTTCCTGAATGTAGTGAAGATCATATCAGCAGTTAAGTTGCTGTTGGTATTTAATTGGTATTGGCATTTAAATGCTGAGGCAAAGGATTTACTGATGTTGGCAATTTGAATTGGATTAATGAGTCTTTTGCTTCAAAGGAGGATGACGCATGGCGATAAGTGCTCAGAGAAAAAGCACATGGTGAGAATTAATTCAGCCCTGTGCCTTTAGAGGCTCTTGCTGGGGAAATGTTTCTAGTCATAAGAAATGTGAGAGCTGCTGTCTCATGAAAGGAAGCGAGGATCTTGTGTGGATTCCCAGGTGTCTGTTTACTCTGTTCTTGTTCATTGTTTAGTCCTCTTGCACCTTCCTGCTAAAGCCTCATATTTTCATTCTGTATTGAAATCCACTTTCATCCTGACTCTGTCCCTTACCTTTTCACCCGTATTAAATAAAAATCAATCTGGGTATGGATGAGGTGTATAAAAGTGATTTTTTTTTTTCCCGAGTAGGTCTTTCAAATCCACTTTTAAAATACACAATAATCTTGGTATCAGAAGTTCAGACTTAATGATTTTGCCAGTCTGCCTTCCTCCCCTCCTTTTTCTCATGTTACTCTAATTTTTCTTCTTTCTTCTTTCTTTCCATTAAATAATGCTTTCATGCTCTCCTCAGGGCTACTAGAATATACAAATCTCGCTTTTCTCCTCCCATAAGCAATTTTGACAACTGTTGGGGGCCGTGAAATATATTTGAAAAATGTACTTTCTTTTGCATCCAGGTGATGCGTGTAACCACTCAGCGAAAGCCATTTTATTGTGTGAAGTTCTGAAAAGGAGTGACGAATAGGGGTTTGGATTTCTTTATATAATGTGACAGATGCAGTCGCGAAATGAGAATTGCAAGGCAAATGCTTTTATGATTCCTGATATGGATTTGGTTACTACACCATGAGATTTAAAACAAGATAAAACCCACTCGTGTAGAGAGGGGTACAGTCTGTGAACCTGGGGCTCTCTGCCAGTGACCGCGGTGGAGGAGGGGAGGAGACTGGTTGGCGTTCTTGGTCTGCGTGTTCCAATCTTGGAGCGTCTCTGTGGCGTCAACCCCTTTACATACAGTCTTGTTATAGCTACTGCTTCCACCCCAGACCAGGTCCGTTATCTTCTTCAATGAACAGTTAGAGAGTTGTTACGCCAGTGGAAAAAAACATCTTGTCGGCTGGCCCAAATCCATTACTGTCATCCCATGTCTTTGCATTCCCTCAGTGCTCTTTAATAGAGAGAATGTACCGATGGCCATGAACTTCATTCGATCTGCTACTTGTATTATGTGTCAATGTCTTGGGTTCAGAAATAGGTTACATCATAAATGTGTTAAGGTCAAGACTGGTTCCTCGCGACACTTGGTGCAGTAGGAACAACACAGCAGGTGGACATATGCCAACCCGTCAGCAATCTAAAGATCCATTCGCATTGGTTTTTCATTTATTAGTCTCCTTAATACAACTGTGTGCTATTCTGGAACTATCCTTTTTTTTCCCAAAGAAGACAGTTGATTTCATTGGTAATGTTAGAGGGTGAATATTCTCTACTTTGGTTGTCACTAGCTGTGGTAATCACCTCAGCTGTGAGATTTGTTGCATGTAAGTTATTATGAGCAAAGTACTGAAATGCGGAACAGTTTACGTATTGAGAAATAAATTCGAGCGGAATCAAGGTTACCCTTGTAATAATGCCACTTGTTTTCTGTACATCTTGTGAATTGCAAAGAAAGGAATGAGTTGTAGCTGGAATTTATTTATTTATTCCTTCCTTCATTCATTCATTCATTTATTTATTTATATATATTTATTTTAAATGCCAGTTTATTTTTTTATACTACATATACATAATTTTTAAAAAACATTTTATGTTTTTATTTTTCCTCTTCCCCTATGGTAATCATTAGTCCATTGTCCATGTCCATGAGTCTCTGTTTGTCCTGTTTATTTGTTGCTTTTAGGTTTATATCCCATGTATGTGTTATCATGTGATTTATAACCTTTTCTGTCTGGGTTATTTCGCTTAGTATGATTATTTCAAGGTCCATCCATGTTGTTGCAAACGGCAATATTTCATCTCTTCTTATGGCTGAGTAATATTCTATTGTATATATGTATCATAGCTTCTTCAGCCAATCATTTATTATAGAACACTTCGGTTGCTTCCATGTCCTGGCCACTATGAATAGTGCTGTGTGGCTGGATTTTAAATAATGCTGAGAGGGGTATATCACTCCTGTTCTCCCCATTTCACTCAAGGAGTGAAAAAACCGGAGAATTGCCGATTCCAGCATTAGTGACTCTGGGAAATCCAGGAGGAATAAACCTCAGGGGTACATCAGTGATTGGTGCTTTCAGCTTCTGACTGAAAGTCAGAACACTTCGGCCACCCTGCTGTGTGTGCGTGTGTGTGTGTGTGTGCGTGTGTGTGCGTGTGTGTGCGTGTGTGTGTGCGTGTGTGTGTGTGTGTGTGTGTGTGTGATACGTTTATACACACAGTAAAGGGATCTGGGCATGTGATTGTTGCCATCTGGCCCTTCTCGGTTCTGGAGGGTCTTGTTTGCTGCGGAGGAGCACATGGTTCATGAACTGGCATCATCTGTCCTCGTAGCCTCTCTGTAGCTCTGTTACCCTGAGCAACGCAGGATAAGGGATGGCGCTGGTTATTCCCTTTTCTTTCTCCTCGTTCACACTTGGAGGACATTTAGAATCTGGGGCCGCAAAATACGGTCATCAGCCTTTTTATTAAAAAAGATCCGAATCGCAATGACAATAAAAGCCCAGTGTGCCAAAATATCAGGAAGTCCAGTCTTTTCTTGGGGTGCTTCTCTCTAACTGTTCCCAAGGATCCCCAGGCTTACTGACGGTGGTTTAAGAGTCAGCCCCTATCGTGCTCTGCCTCCTGCCCCCTGCCAGGGAAATGGGGTCTCACGCTGAAGGTGGACTTTTGACCTCAGTGAAGTTATAAGTCTACATCACTGGTCCGGATCTCTTCTTTCTTGGGATGTCACCTCCTGCTGGCTTCTGTTGTCCTTTGCTGTACCTGGCCTCAGCACCACCACAGTTTCTCAGGCATAGTCTAACCATGTTGATCCTCAAAAAGAAGGCCTCGGAGGCTTCATTCCACTTTCCCTAGAAATCTTTTCTAGTTCCTTACAAGTATACGGAGACAGTTATACCTAAGCCACTCCCAGGACAAAATGTGTACACCTGTTTGTTTTATATTTACGTAATATGTTCATTCGAATAATTCTTTCTAGATCAAAGGTACAGTGTGCCCTAAAGGTAGAGTCTATTCTCTATTCCCAAAGGTATGAGATGTTTATAGGTTTATAAATAGTCTTTTAAAAAATTTTTCTAAAGTTTTTATATTTAGTCTCCTCCAGGCTCCCTGTTATACCAACAATAACAATAATTAGATATTCGTATGTTGTGAGGCATGATCCTAATAACTGAAAGACGATTTTTTACTTTAGAGATGAAGAAACTGGCCCAGAATGGTAGAGCCTATAGTTCTAAATGAATTCAAACACAAATAAGGACAATTGCTTATAAATAGGTGGTCACCAATGGCAGAAGCTAGGAGTAGCTTGGGTAGACTTTAGGTCCTACTTAATCTTCATCAGTCCCTGGAATCCCATTTCAGATAAATATCTCATGTATAAAGTCACATAAAAAGCATGCTTGTGTTGCAAATGCAGCTTTAAGAAAATATCTCTTCCAACCAAACTGCCATTGGTGGCCAACACTATTTATGTCAGTTAGCTATAATGCCAGAGGGTATAGCAGAAGGTGAGAATTTGACACACAGATTTGTGAAAAAGAATTCTGAAAATAAGAGGCATCGTGTCTTTTTCCCGAAGGTTGATAGTTGAGGTGTGTACCAGTGTCATCTCAACTCTGAGGACGTTTCTCGACACTGTCCCCTCTAGCCCTTCTCTTTGCAGGGCTGTGGCGATGAGGCACATGTTTTGTGTCTTGGAGCAGACTTTTGGGAGACAGATACCAGTGCTTGAAGGGAGGGGTCTCCTTATTCCTTTCCATGTGCAAATCCCAGCCAGTGTCGCTAGAGAGTAACACAGTTTTGTGCTCTGTTGTACTGTGGACTTCAGTCTTTGCTTCTCATGAAAGGGATATTCCGAGCTTCCCAGGTAGGATAATTGGGCTTCTGGAAGTGGCTGTATCGGACTTTAGTTTCAATTCTATTACCACCGACAGATGCTTCATCTCTTCGAACGTCTATTTTCTTAACCGTCACATCGGAGGGCGAGACAAGAACGGTGGTTCTCAAACTTAAGTGCGCATCACAGTTACCAGGAGGGCTGTTAAAAGAGATTGTTGGGCTCGCCTCCAGGTCTGGGTGGATACCTGTGCCTTTCGAAGAAGCTTCAGGTGGTGGTGATGCTGCTGGTCCAGGACCCTTGGAGAACCACAGGACTAGATGATATTTAACGTCCCTTTGAACTCTGAAATATTTTGCTGTTAATTTGAACAGGTCACTTATCTAATCCAGCCTCAGTTTTTCATTTTTGATATAGGAATAAAGGTGCCCACTTTCCAGGGTTGTTGGGAGGATCTGAAAGAGATAAAATATGTGAAGGAGCCAAGCTCAGTATCTGGTACCCAGGAAGCACTCAGTAAGAACTCATTTCGTATTCCTGCTTGGCACTCACTGGAAACCTTGCCTGCCTTTGAATATATACGCACAGAGGAAATAGGATCACACTTGGGTTTTGTGGCTCCAGGTGCAGACACTGTGGACTCCGAAAGCTCACTAAGCCTCTGGCATGCAAAGTCTGCTT